TCTCAATCTGTTCCGTCTCCTTCGCCTCTGTTTTAATGATCATATATATTGATCATATATAATATATATAATATAATTTATCATATATAATAATAATTTTTATAAATTATTATTCATATTACATTTACATCAATATATAATATATAGTATAAATTACATTAATATAATAATATGTAATATTATTCATCTAAAAAAAATTATATAATACAATAGATATTACATAAATTATATAGATATTATATAATAATTATTGTATAACATATAAGATATTTATAAGATAATATATACTTATATATATTAATAAAAATAAATAAACACATATATGTAAAATAATTATTTGTTATTTATATAATATAACTCATCTTAATAACTATATTTAAAATATATATATATATTTAACGTATCCCCGTACCCGTATCCAAATTTGGATACATATCCACGTATCCTTAATTTTTAATTTTGAAGTATCCGACCCCTAGATACGCACCCACACCCGATCCTCGTACCCGCGTCCGTGTAACTTAGGTTTTGGCCTTATAAAAGGAGCTTTGGACTTTAATTTGAAGGTCCTTAAAAGAAAAGTTTTTGGGTCCTTTGGTATTTTTTAAATATGGTCTAAATAAAGAAAGCTCTTTCCCGCTCATGTAATAGCAGCAAAGGGCAGTACTTATATTAGAGAAAAGTTTGAGAAAGGGGCACTCATGGCAGCAAGAAGAGGCGACCCCCAGGCAATTGCAGCAACGGACGCAGTTCACACCGCTGGCAAACAAGGAAAACAGAAACGTCCAGAACAAATGAAACAAAAGAGAAGGTTAAACTTGAAAGAGAGACTAACTAGCATTCTTAGCTGCCCCTTTTACAGAAGCTTCACCCGCAAAAGTCATCACAGCTTCATCATCACGAGTCAGAGAGGCGACCGAAACATCTTTTGGAAACCCGTCGGATTCACAAGCAGCTTCCGGAGTTTCACATACCATTTCTTCCGCATCTTCTGTGATGTAGGGTCACCGCCAATTTCCAACCTCTCAGGGGGTCGGCCAGTCGGAACATAGGACCGGTCTTGCGACCGATGGGCATCTTGGATTGTGTTGGATTTCAAAGAGCGGGGAAGAGATGGAGTAGTGGAAGATTGCCCAACCTTTAACCCTTTGCTCTTATTCTCTGTAGATCGTTTCAGAGTAGCCCTATCTAGGGGCGGAAATAAAATGACGTAAAATTTATTGGATTGAAGGGGGCTTCCACCCAATTGGGAAGGGAAGAAGATGGCTTTGAAGACGATGGAAGAACCTGTGAGCCAGACCCAACTTTTTCCTTAGATTGAGAGCGTCATTCAGCGAGAGACGCTGGACCCTTGTTCTTACTTAGCCTACGAGGGCTATCCTTTGCCACGTTTCCCACCCTCTTACCCTTAGATGTAGATGAAACCCCTGCGGAATGTAACTCTGCATTACGCGTGGCAGTGAAATGCATCGGCCCATTATTCTCTACCCTTTGTTGACACGGATCCCCCTCCAACCCAGGAGCTTCACTATTAGTGCTTTTCTCCATGGAGCCTTAATTATTTTCAGTTCCTCTGGGGGTACACAAATCCTCGGCCCTTGGCTCTCGTCACTCTCATCCTCCTCACCCTCCACTCCGTCTTCATGCCTTCTCTTGACCTTCTTTTTTTTTTGGTGATTGCCCTAGCTGCGTTGTACGCCCCCTGACCCCTTATTACACTCCCCCTAGCTTGGGACTAAGACCTTGGCGTTTGAATCCCTCCACAGTAGCCAAAGTAGAGAAAGCAGCACCAAAAGCAGCAGTTCATCTCGTTGTTTATTATGCTAATGAACCTTTTGATCCTCCAGCATCCGAGGCTATAGAAGCAGAGACAGAGGCATAGAAGGGGGTTTCACTTGATCCAGTACCTGTAAATGATCCACCGGTATAGGTAGTAGAGTCAAAGATGGGAGTATGGCAATTATCCTAGGGAAGTACCGCTCGCGGGTTATGTGGACTCAATTGCTTACCTTGAACCGGAGCTTATTGGATACCCGATTTGAAGTCCCTCAGCAAAGGCGACGTCGGTTGCCATTATTATATTCACTATTGATCATCGGCCTAAGCCCAGATTCTAGTATTCTCTGCAGAATGAGAAAGAGAACCAACCGAATCAAAGCACTCTTTATTTCTGGCATAGGCTAAGGTTTACGTAATCTGACTCCAGGCCTGAAAATTCCTGTTTGGGTTTACATGGATTTTTCGCGTACTCCCTTCTTTATGCCGACTGAAAGGAGCAATGTTGGCCTGATCTGAACATAGTTACGCTTTGCAACCCACTGTAACCAGTCTGGTACAGGAAGAGGTCATGTTTGTTGACGGGAGCGAGACTCGAGGACCCTTAACCCGCCGATCTCGATGTACTTGACTTCGAGGGCCTCGCTGGCTCTGTTTCTTGTTATCCTGTTGCATATGGATAGTTGCACAGTTTTGGTTTTCTTTGTCATGGAATTGAATGACTGATTTACATTCCATAGCGATGAAGCTCCCTAGGCCGTCCTTCTGGTGAAGCAGCCCACGCCTCTTACGACGCCATCGCGCAGGGGTACGACGGCGAGACCTTTTTGGTTTCAGACCAATCGAGGGTTCACTTGCTTTTCCATTCCTGTCTGATGGTTCAAGATCTGGCTACTCAAGTGCTAACTATCATAATAGATATCCTTACTTTAATTCTCACGAAAGAACATAGTAAGTGGACTTGTCAATTCTTGGTGTAATACTCACTCCATCCTCTATATTATAGAACCTACTTTAATCTCGAAATGCTAATCTCCACGTCAACCTTAGTTACAACAGCGTAATTGACCAGATTAGCACTACTCCTATCTTCTATAATGACTGAACCGTTCAAACTAAGGATCAAGGTCTTCTTCTTGCAGGGGTGGATCTTCTGGCCCATACATATGGTTATATTCGGTTTGTTCTTTATCTTCGAAGGTTATTTTGCTCCCTTCCGGAGATATTGGTATATACATAATGTATGGAGGAAAGCATACCTTTCTTCTTATGCGATCCCATATCGTTGCCAGAACTCTTTCCGCCTTTAGCTTTGTTATTATAGTGTAATCCTCCCCCTTCAGTATTCCATCTTCGGTGGACAGAATTATAAAAGGCACCAGTGGTGACTGTTTTAAGGATAATAGAAATTTCCTATCTTTCGATCTACTTCCTAAATGTACAGCTGGGCTGGGGTCATCCTTCTTTCTTGTATTTGACTTGCCTACATATCCGGTTCCACCTCGGAATCGGAATCAAGCCCCCTTCCGTCATTCGGACTTTCTTCGAATTGTACCTTTGATCCCTGATATGCGGTGGCCCACGGACATAGAAAAGAAGGTAGGTAAAGAAGGTACAATTAGAAATCATTTGAACTAATTATATAAAACAAAAAATATATTTTATATATTCGAAAGCCTGCTCCCAATAGCAACTATAAAATCCACACTCTAAAAGGTTAGAGTAGACATCAGATAGATAAGAGGGGTCTAGCACCTCCTCTTCCCCAATCACCATCCGGGTAAATTCTTCGATAGACCAGCTGCATGGCAAGTCTGCTCCGATTTCGTTTATGCTCTCTTGAAAAAAGCGACAAATATTAGTAAATTCCTCACTTAGATTTAGATCTTGTGGCGAAGAAGAAGTCAGCTCATTTCGGACCCCAGTGGACGCCTCTGAAGCGGAACTATAGGAGAGCTGGGGGGCCCCTATAGAACAACTTCTTTCAGATGGAGAAGATTCCGAAATGGAAATCTCAATCCAATCGCTGGGTGAATAACGAGTGGGACCGGTTGGATCAAACTGCGACCCATACTGCAAAATCGCGAGGTTACGCTTCATCCTCATGGCTTAAATTTCTTTCTTACTCTTAAAGCACACCGCTTGCCTATTCCGCCTAAGCAGCCCGGTGTGCTTCTTAATGAGAAGCAAAACCAGAACGACTAAAAGCATTTTGGAAGAGAGGAGGTAGGGGTTTTCCCCCCCTCCTACAGAGGCATAGAAGGGGGTTTCACTTGATCCAGTACCTGTAAATGATCCACCGGTATAGGTAGTAGAGTCAAAGATGGGAGTATGGCAATTATCCTAGGGAAGTACCGCTCGCGGGTTATGTGGACTCAATTGCTTACCTTGAACCGGAGCTTATTGGATACCCGATTTGAAGTCCCTCAGCAAAGGCGACGTCGGTTGCCATTATTATATTCACTATTGATCATCGGCCTAAGCCCAGATTCTAGTATTCTCTGCAGAATGAGAAAGAGAACCAACCGAATCAAAGCACTCTTTATTTCTGGCATAGGCTAAGGTTTACGTAATCTGACTCCAGGCCTGAAAATTCCTGTTTGGGTTTACATGGATTTTTCGCGTACTCCCTTCTCTAATGAGGGAAAGGTTATTCCCTATAATTAAAAAGATATTTAAGTGGTGGTTGTACAAGAATAGACAGAACTGAAACTGGCTGGCATTATTCCCTAGACGAATAGCATTAACCTCAGCGCAGAACTTCTCCTTTACTGGTGGGACAGAGCAATCTTTTTATGTTTTACTTTCGGATTCTATTCTCTCTTGTTTCTCGTGTGTTTGGCTGTGTTGCGTGACCCATTGTGGTGTTAGTTATGACTCATTGTAGTTTTGGTTATAACATAGTTATGATTTATTGTGGCATTACTCCATTTCCAATTGTTTTATCAAAATAAAAAAGTTGGTTGAAATTTATTTTTTTAGTTTGTAGTAATCAGTAAGCTGTCAATATTTTCTCATAATCCAAATTGTAAATACATGATTGGAGATTATGCATAAAAACGTTTTACATGCCAAATTTTCTCCTATTATGAGCTCACACATAGTTTTTGGGGCCATTCAATTGATTTACTTATCAGAATGATTATTTCATGGGTCCTCACTGGAAATTTCATTTATTCAGTTAGTGTCTCAATTTCTGCAATGTACAAGATTGATTAAATTCATGAATCAAAATTTGTTGTGACCATGCAGCGGATGCATAACGTCAGCCGAAACAGTAATGCTTGAGAAGCAAAGCTTGGATGAGTTTCTTTCTAATATTGAGAACAGGAAGACTGTTATTGTCTCCCTCTCTCCCCAGTCAAGAGCTTCCCTTGCAGTTCATTTTGGTCTTTCTCCACTTCAGGTGAGTTGCACTACAGTTACTCCATTTCCCCGCCTTTACTTATAACAGACTTTCCCCCTTACAAAATGATAAGGTAGAGACACTTTTTGTCATTATTATCTTAATTATTTTATCCTGTTTGGTCAGTATGTGCATACATCTTTGTCACAATTCATAGCTTCCACTTCTGTGGAAGTGCTTGATTTTTCATAATTAAGGTTTCAAATCTCAATAAAATTATGCAAAAGCAGTTCTAAGATTATGTGCACACATGCTATGTGGTTGAGGTTTCTGTTCCTATTTTCAGGTTTTCAAGAAACTCACAACATTTCTTAAATCATTGGGAGTGAAGGCTGTATATGATACCAGCTGCAGTAGAGACTTATCACTTATTGAATCCTGTAATGAATTCATGACACGTTACAAACAAAGCTATTCATCTGATGATGGAAAATGTAAATCATCCCTACCAATGATTTCGTCTGCTTGTCCAGGTATATATGTCTTGTTCTAATAATATGTCTTCACTGTATAATGTCACTGCATACACACTCACTCTTGCAAAGACCATTATATAAATGGGTTCACTTCCCTAAGAATTTCATAGATTCATTATTACTGCATCCACGTACACTCTTGCAAAGACCACTAAAAGTGGGGCAGCTTTTGTATGAACTTGATAGATTCTTTATCATGTGTAGGCAATAAGAGTTATGGAATGGGAGTTTATTGAAAAATATTTTGTAGTTCTAGTAGAATTTTTCTGTGATGTTATATGAACATCTTTTTGTACTCTCAGGTTGGATATGCTATGCTGAAAAAACTCTTGGATCCTATATCCTGCCATATATTTCCTCGGTGAAGAGTCCCCAACAAACTATGGGAGCTATCGTAAAGCACCAAATATGCCAAAAAATGTGTATTAGGTAATCTCATTCAATCTTACGTTCCTATGCATCCCAATTAATCTGTATTTTTCTCAATATTGTTCATGAAGCTATATGCCATTTTGAAATGTTAAAAAAAAAAAAAAAAGAAATGAAAAGAAAAGAAAAGAAAAGTAAAATATGCCCAGTTTAAACCCCATTGGATGTTGGTCTAGGAGGGGTACATTGGGTACAAACCTAACTTTTTGGCATAATTTGCACAAAGTGGCTGACATTTGGAATGAACAAAAAAAAAAAAAAAGAACCACCAAGATTTTGATTTGAAGCATTATTTGTCATTGGCTTCATTTTATGCCTGTCTTTTTCTTCATTCTTGTGTTCCCAACCTGTCATGCACCTGAGTCACAATATTCGTTGCAATGATGGAGACCTTTCATGCAAAGCGATCAAGATGGGAATATGGTTATCAAATTAGGAGATCACCTTAGTTGATCAGATTGATGGATTCCCTATCAATCAAGACACTTTTCTCTTTGCATTGTTTCTTATCTTATTCTTATTGTTTGGTCATATCTAACATGTGCAGCTATGTGGTTTGATTGTGTAACCTTTTCCCACTTTCTAATCTATTGTAGTTTAAAAATATGCTTCCCGAAATGGAATACTGTAGCTATCAAAAAAAGAAAAGTGGATTACTGTATTCTATGTTGTTTGGAGTGTTTGAGCATTTCTTGCTGGTAAATTAGCAGTATTGTTTTTTTCCTTCTCATAATTAATTAAGTCTAACCAGGTGTGCTCTTCAGTCTTCTGTTGGTTTCATGTTGACTTGCTCCTAACATTATGAAATTATATTATGGGCTCATCTCAGCTTTTTCTGTCATGTGTACAAAGTATCTGACATTCTACATATAATGAGAGGGTGATTTAATTACTAACAGACTATGTTACATGGACTCGTCACTTTGGGGCGAAGTACCCGTGTCGACACGACACGACACGGGTGCGGGTGTGAGATCTGTGTCGGATTCGCCTCGTCTCTCTCGGACACGGCACTTTACAGACAGCAAAGAAATGGAAGAGGAGAAAGGAAGAGAACCTGGTCACTGTTGTCTTCGATCATCGATCACGATTAGGGCTCTCACTGTTGATCACGATCGTCTTCGTCTAGGGCTTCGATCACTGTCGATCTCGACCTCGAGCTCGATCGCCTTCGTCTCTCCCTTCGTTTCTGCTTCTCTCTCTCTCTCTTCGTCTCGTCTCTGCTTCTCTCTCTCTCTCGTCTCTCGTCTCTCAATCTGTTCTCTCTCTTCGCCTCTGTTTTATAGAATAGATATATACCGATCATATATAATATATATAATATAATTTATCATATATAATAATAATTTAAATTATTATTCATATTACATTTACATTAATATATAATATATAGTATAAATTACATTAATATAATAATATGTAATATTATTCATCTAAAAAAAATTATATAATACAATAGATATTATATAAATTATATAGATATTATATAATAATTATTGTATAACATATAAGATATTTATAAGATAATATATACTTATATATATTAATAAAAATAAATAAACACATATATGTAAAATAATTATTTGTTATTTATATAATATAACTCATCTTAATAACTATATTTAAAATATATATATATATATATATATTTAACGTATCCCCGTACCGGTATCCAAATTTGGATACATATCCATGTATCCTTAATTTTTAATTTTGAAGTGTCCGACCCTTAGATACGCACCCGCACCCGATCCTCGTACCCGCGTCCGTGTAACTGAGCACGTATCTATAAATTATTGACAGGTAGAAACTACTTAAGGGCAATGTCATCCACAATCCAATTTAGGATTACTTATAATAACACTTTGCAGTGGTATTAAAGAAGCAAAAAAAGTGGAGTGAACAGTGCAGTACCACAATAACAAAAAAATAAAAAATAGAATAATTTTACTGAAGAATCAGTTTTACACCAGTTACAAACCAATTTGATGCAAGCCAAGCTCCCACTGCGTCACTTTCTTGTCTAAACCAGTAAATTTCTAGGCATATGGAAATTTTCTGGCTAGGCATATTGAAATGAGTAATTTTTTCATTTTGCTCGATCTGCTTTGATAGCAGGAAAAACTCGATCTGCTCAGATGAGCCAAATACTTGTGTTAGGCATCTCCAATATACTCAAAATTTTACTTTAGAAAAAAGAAATTACTCCCTAAATAGAGAATAAGAGAAAGTGAAACCAGGGCCCAACCATTATCAAAAGGCTCACATAGAGTAAACAGAATTAAATAGAAATGCAAATAAGAAGCAAAATCTACCAAAATGAGAAGGAGAAATGGAAAATCTACCAAAATCTGTAAAAATAAATAAATAAATAAATAAATAAAAATACAGAACTCACAGAGTTGTTATCAAAACCTCAGCGAGCAGAGAAGATATGATGGCTATTAGCAAGGCTTCTAGCGATGGTGGCGATCAGCAAGGCTACTAGAGGTGACGGCGATGGCAATAGCGATCGGCGTAGTGGAAGAGCAAGAGATGAATGCGGCGTAGTGGAGGAGCAAGAGATGAGTGCGAGACAAATGTTGTATACGATGAGATGAGGGTGTGGGTGTGTTAGGGTTTAATTGGGGAATTGATTGTGGGGGTGATGCTAGGGAGCTCGAAAGCCTCCCCCCCCCCGAATCCTCCTAATTTTTTTTTATTTTTTTTTCAGAAGCAGAGAAGGAGAAGAGAAGAGAAGGGAGGAGGAGGAGGAGGAGGAGGAAGGAGGAGGAGGAGGACGGACTGGAGGCGGGCCATAACTGGGGGGCTGGAGGCGAGCTGCTGCTGCTGCGAGGAGCTGCGGCCCGGACTGTGAGGAGCTGCGGCGGGGCTGCGACTCCTTCCCCTCTCTTCTCTCTCTCTCCCTCTCCCTCTTCCTCTGCATTTCAGACCTAAAATGAAGAAAGAAGAAGAAAAAAAAAGAAGTAAAATGCCAAAACGACGTCGTTTTGGGCATTAGGGGGATTCGGGGGGGATAGTTTCGAGCTACGAAACATTATCCTTGATTGTGTGTGTGTCTGTGGTGTCTGTGTGTGAGCTACGAAACATACATTATCCTTGATTGTGTGTGTGTGTGTGTGTGCGTGTGTGTGTGTGTGTGTGTGAGAGAGAGAGAGAGAGAGAGAGAGAGTAGTAAAATATATCAACAATGATTCATCCCCCTTTTCCCCCCACCCCCTTTGATCCCACACTCATTTAAAATGTGTAATTAAAAAATATTATCTCACTCATTAAATTAAGTGTGATTAAAAAATTATTTAAATTTTTTTAATCACACTTCTAATAAAAGTGAGATATTTTTAATTCTTCTTATGTGATTTTTAATCGCATGTTAATTAGAATGTGTGATTAAAAAATATATATATATAATTATACTTAATTAAAAAGTGATACAAAAAATAAATATTATCACACATAATCAAATCAAGTGTGATTAAAATATCTGTCATGACCCGAACTCGCCCCTATAGATTAAGGTCATAATCGGCCAGTAATCATGAAATTACCTACGGCCTCAAATCAAATTAGAATATACTCCATCAGAGTTAAGGGGCCAAATAGAAGCAAACTTAAAAATTTTCTCCAATGAGCTATGCTTACATGGCATATCAAAACATTTCACATGTACTTAATAATAATTCACACCACATGTTAGTAGTTAACATCTTGTATACCCAAGATCATTCAAACACATAGTCAGCTAAACCAAAAGCTTATACACATAAACGGTCTATCACGACCAATAGAAATAGCAGAAAAAATAAAAAAGATCATAAACAAAGCCACACACATGGGCTGACTTCACAAAACTTGGGTTCCTTCTTAAATTCCACTAAGGCTGGGGTTGAATGTCCCTTTGCTCACCTACACACATGTAAATGAGAGTGAGCTAACGCCCAGTGAATAATATCAAAATAAAGAGGTTAATGAATGAGATTCGTTCATAAATGAATCATACTTATAATATACATATTTGAACCACTATTCTTATTCACACCAGATTTACAAATCTCAACAAAGCAAAACGACCTTAGGTCCAACACATCATATCCATATGCAAAACGACGTCAGGTCCAATTCTTATATAAAACAATGTGACCTTGGGTCCATCTATACGAAACGACCTTTGGTCCAACCAACTCTCTATTCAAAACGACCTTTGGTCCAATTCGAACATATCGAATGGCCTCGAGCCCAATTCAAACATATTAGGCGTATCAAACGGCCTCAGGCCCATTCTCTTTATATTCATATCCATGCGTATTTCGTATTCATCATCATGATCCCTTTCATTCAAACGGCCTTTGGCCCATCACGGTATTCCAACATATTAAATGACATATTCAAACGGCCTTTGGCCCATCTTTGCATTCATGTCTAACGGCCTTTGGCCCAATCGTTCATATCCAACGGCCTTTGGCCCAATCATTCATGTCCAACGGTCTTTGGCCCAATCACTCATGTCCAACGGCCTCTGGCCCAATCATTCATGTCCGACGGCCTTAGGCCCAATCATTCATGTCCGACGGCCTTAGGCTCAATCATTCATGTCCCACGGCCTCTGGCCCGATCATTTATGTCCAACGGCCTTTGGCCCAATCATTCATGTCCAACGGCCTTAGGTCCAATCATTCATGTCCAAGGGCCTTAGGCCCAATCATTCCTGTCCAACGGCCTTAGGCCCAATCATTCATGTCCAACGGCCTTTGGCCCAATCATTCATGTCCAACGGCCTTTGACCCAATTCAGATATATCAAACGTATCAACGGCCTTATACAAAATTAGGCATATAGAATACTCATTCATATTTCAAGTCAACAAGTCCATGAAGCTTATACAGAAGTAGCATTTAGAAAGCAACATACTTGAAAATATCTTTACTAAGATATTACTCACAGTATTCTGCTGGTGGATTTGCCCTAGAGCTCGACCCTACACATTTCATGAACACAATGGGTCACAAACAATTCATTCTGCTCTTAATTCATACATCCTTCTTAGGCTTCTTTTTTATCCTTTTAACTCATTTACAATACTTAATATATGCCT